GGCAGACTTTGGAGAGCTGACCCCTGCCCCGTTTGCTCTCCACCTCCTCTCTCCTCACTCCCCGCATCTCATCCCTCAGCTCCTCCTACAGAAAGTGTCCTGAAGCCTCTGTCAACGTCTCTCCCTCTCCTTTGCCACGCCCCCCCCAGGCCAGGATCCATCATTTCTAGCCAGGCGACTGTAGCAGCCCCCTCGCCTCCTCACCGGTCACCTGGCCCAGTTTTCCACAGTCCCGTCTATGCACTGCAGCAGGTATTGTGAACCTTTTATTTTATGTAAACGGGATCACACCACGTCTCTCTTTAAGGCTCCCATTGCAAGCGGAATTAACCTAAACTTTTTCACAGCCCTCCCCGCCCCAGGCCCTATGCCCTTATCTCTTCCTTCCTGCTCAAGCAGCCCCAGTCTCATGGCTTCAAGTTTTCTTAACATACCAAGCTGGCCCCTGCCCCAGGGCCTTTGCACTTGTGGTTCCTGTGGCTGGAGCACCTTTCCTGTGATGTGTGCTATACCTGCCTGCTTCTCCTTCCTCAGTCTTAGCTCATCTGGCACCTCCTCAGGCCACACACTACCTCACATTACCCCACCCATTCTCTACCACAGTTAGCGTGGTTTTTTTTTTTTTTCTAGCCCCTGTGAGTCCCTGAAGATACTGTATTTAGTTAGTGGCTCACTTTTATTGCCTGTCTCTCCCACTAGAAGTCCATAGGGGTGGGTGGCCCTGGTTCACAGCTATGGCCCCAGGACCTAGCATAGCGCCCGACACTTCATAAGTGCTCCATAAGTATTTGTTAAATGAGAAAAGCCCTCCAGAGCCCTGACTTCTTTTGCCAGCTTGGAACAGTCTTTCAAATCAGCCCTATTTTCCCACTGTCATTGTCACGGCCCAGAGCCTGTCAGAACCCCTCCCACCCACCTGCCCACCCTACTCTGTTTCCCTTCCACAGAAACACAGCAATCCCAGGCCTCGGGACCAAATATTCTTTTTCCCCTCTGTCCTTTCCCCCTCATTTGACTAATCCTCACCTGTCAGTAGTAATTTAGCTCAAGCATCACCTCCTCCCAGCAGCCTTCCATGTTTTTCCTTTCAAGTTAATGCTTACTTCTGGCCCCTGTAGATTATTGGTGCCTCCTGGTCCCGAGAGTAGTCTGCTGTCTGTATTTTAAGAATGTGTTTCTCCTTCTCTACCATGGGAGCCCCTCTCAAAGGCAAGGACCAATCTGGCTCATCACCAGTCTGCCTCAGCACTCAGCACTCAACACCAGGCTGGCCTGGTGCAGGAGGTCCTCGGGAAATGCAGGGCTGGGCTGGTCTCATCACTGCTGCAGTAGGGGTGTTGGGGGTAAGACAGGTCAAACCAGTATCTCCCAGCCATGTGACTTCCTCTCTTTGAGCCTCGTTTTCCTCATCTGTAAAATGGGTGTAACAATCCCGACTTCTTGGGGTTGAGAGGGTTCCAAAGAAGTTTCTCTTGTGTATGTAACGTGTTGGCACATGGATGGGGTCGGGGCAGTGGCGGGGCCCTTCCCAGGTGTGGTCTGGACCCTGAGCTTAGCAACTGTCTCTTTGAGTTGCAAGCCTCCTCAAGCCCTCCAGGGTTGGAGAATGTGTGTCTTCTAGAATGTATGTCTTTCCTGGCCCGGGGCCTCTGCCTTGAGACACCCTCGGAGGTGAAGGCAGGAGGTAGGCAGACTGGATCAAACCCTAAACTTGGGGCCGAATGAACGAATTTGAGTCTTGGCTCTATAATTCACTGGCTGTGTGACTCAGAGCAAGTCCCCACATATCCGGAAGCCTCGGCTGCCCTATCTGGAATGGGAGCTAATGAGACACAGCCTAAGACTCAACATTACCTGGACAAACAGGCACGTCGTTAGTGGGAGTTTGATTATTATATCCCCAAAGCAATGTCCTGCTCTTCTGATTCTTCATATGGTTTGGGGTGTTGTGCATCGAGGGGCCTTCTACACCGGGCCACGGCCGTTCTGTGCGGCAACCAGGAGCCTTCCCATGGTTACCTGGGATCTGGCTGTGGTACCTGCAGCCTAGGTTAGGTGCCAGGACTCTGGGAAGCTCTAGATGCTCAGGGGCACCCAAGTGCTCCTGACCCCCCAGGTGCCAATGTGTAAGTGGCCAGCCAGCCCCCTAGGAGGGGCCTGGGGAACCTTCCCAATGGACCCACATCAGTGTGGCTCGGGAGGGCAGAGGCCCGCCCGCCAACCCCTGCTCAGATCCTCATTTGTGCACAGATTCATCTTTCCACTGCGGTATTTCCAGAATAGATGTTAAATAAATGTGCGCTGAGAGAACAGAATCATTCCATGCATTCAACAAACACTATGAGCACCTGCCGCACTTAGCTCTGCGTTAAGAGATTTGCATGGAGTGGATGGCCTTGGGGACTCCTCCCCGAGACCAGCCAGGGTGCCTTTGGGTCTTCCCAGTTCTTCCAGCCTCCAACCCAGCTTCCCAGGGTTGCCACACTCTGAGCGTCACGACTTTTCCCAGCATCAAGGTCATGCCCAAGCACCCCATGTGTCATGAGGTCTGGGAAGGTTGTGCCCCTACATTCTCCCCATCTTTCCGGCCCAACTTCAGCAATCCTTCCCCGTCCCTCTCAAACTCTCAGACACAGCCAATGCTGTGTGCTCCCCCCTCCCAATGCCCTACATCTACCTGGGGTTATACCGAGAGCGACCAGCAGGTGGTGCTGAGGCTCCTTTTTCCCCAGCGCTGGACCGGACTCCAGACCCCACTAGGACCCTGTCCCTCCCTCCTTTCCTCCCCAGCAGGAACAGGAGTGGGCTCTGTGCCCTCCAGATGACCCCTCTCTTTCCTGCTGGCTCCTGAAAGGAGACCTAAGAAAACGCCAGTTGCTCCAGCAGGCCCTGGGTTGTCCTTTCCTGCCTGGTGGGTGAGGGAGTCCCTAGGGGCCAAGCTGCAGCTGGCGGGGCGGGGCCGGGTAGGGTGGGGCAGAAAGCAGCTGCCGGAGAGAGAAAGAGAAAAGAGAAAGGAGAGAGAGAAGAAGAAAAAGAAAAAGAAAAAGAGGAAGAAAAGATAAAGGACAGAGAGAGGAGCTCTGGTTCCCAGGCTCCTATCCCAAACAGGCGGCTAGGGGCCTGCCCTCTGGACCAGGGCCACAACTGAGACCCACTCCAGAACCAGGTATGTGGCTGAGGACGCACATGGGGCTGGGGGAGTGTCAGCCTGCCCAGCAGAGCAGGCCTGGGGGTACTGAGGGGCTGGCCAATGAAATTTTGCTGCTCAGCAAGACCCCCTGCGTCCTCTCCCTTCTCACCCCTCCCAAGGTGATCAAGTAGAAACTCTGCGAGCATTAGGAGATGAGGGCTCTATGGTTGCTCTCCACTCATGGTGTGAATTTGCACCAAGCTCTTTCCATCTCTGGACCCGGGTTTATCAATATAAAAGGGGGAGTGGGGAACCATCTTGAAGATGGTTCTATGGGGTAACTTTGCAAGGGGTCCCCTCACAAAGGATTAGCCCTCCCAGGGGCGTCTGGAAGACCAGGAGGCCTTTAAGATCCAAAGGAATGCCTTTCTAATGGTGGAATTTCGGACGGTGGGGAGAGGGGCTCATTTGGAGAGATGGGCCGCCCCTCCAAGCTGCAGGCCCTGGGGCCTGGTCTATGCCTCTCTCCGCAGCCTGTTCCTCAGGGACTTGTGGGGGAGCGTGTCGCAGGGTGGGGGAAGGGAGTTTCCCTAGCTGTTCAGAGATCCTCCTTTGGAGGAGGATACAGTGGGTGCGGGGTGAAGACATTTTTCTTGCACTCCAAGGTGTGAAAAGAAGTGGATTGGGTAGAATGGGGTGTGGGACTGAGGTAGAGAGAGTGGTAGGCATATGGATGTCCCAATGTAATGAGGGAGGGGTCACCCAAGCCCTGTTATTAACGGTGGCTGCTTGCCCTGGCTCCAAAGCCTCTGCTCTTTAGAGTCATTAGCTCATTCACTGTTCACAGCAATCAGCCCTGTGGGTATGGGAGGGGTGGGGGCACTGGAACCGCTCCTCCCTCCCCCTGCTCTTGGGGAAAGGTTGCTCCAGATTGCTCCCTGGGTGGGAAGGGCTGGCACAGTGTTCTAGGCTCTCAGGGATCCCAGTGTGACCAAGCTCACTTTAAGTGGGTGGCGGTCGTGTGGAGCACAGGTTCCAGAATTGGATCAGCCTGTGTTCAAATTCTGGCTCTGCGGTGGGTCCTTGGGCAAGTCCAGGAACCTCTGCAGTCTCCTGTGCAAAATCTGAACAGCAGAGCAGGGCCTTATTGGTGAGAAGTCAGCAACATATTGCAAGTAAAGCTCTTCGCACAGTATGTGCCACCTAGTAGAGGCTCACTGTCACTCTCCTTATGGAGATAGAAAGGGAGGCCCCAAAAGGGGAAGGACTGGCCAGAGGTCACAGAGCCTGGGGTCACAGAACTAGGCCCTCCAGTGAGCCAGAGCCCCTACTGTGTGCACCCAGCACCTACCCTGCACTCCACAGTCACCCCATCCTTACTGTGATTAGGCCCGCCAGCTCACTCCTGCCTTAACCTGCAAGGCCTAGGGTCTGGGGTAGAGTGAGGAGTGAGTACCTCCAAAAGCCAAAGGATGGAAGAGGCAGAGAGAAGCATCTCCGTAACACTTGTTCTCCTTCTCCCTTGGTAAAGAGCAGAGATGGGGTTCGTGTGCGGGCTCTGTGCGGGGAGAGGGGCAGCGAGGTTGGGGCTGAGCACGGCGGGAGTGGAGAACCCCGTTTGCGCTCCTGCACCGGCGAGAGGGTGGGAGCGACCAGTTGTGGAGCTCCAGTTGTCGAGCTCTGTGGACCCAGTGGCCGGCCGAGTGGGGGGCGGGGTGGGTGGGGGCGCCCTCGGCCCTCGGCCCTCACTCCGCCCCGCGCCTCTCCCAGCAGCGGGGGTGCCCCCCTCCCCCCAGGCGCCCGACGTGGACGCGGCTGCCGCCGCCGCCACCGCCGCCGCCGCGCGGGAGTCGCTGTCCGCGGAGCCGACATGCAAGCGGCGCGGGGCGGCGTGGGGCGGCCGGGCCGCGGGCCCAAGTGCGAGCGCCAGCGGTCGCCGGGCACCGGAGCCGCGTCCCCCTGCGCCGCCCCAGACCGGCTGGCCGGAGCCGCGGCCATGCACCTCGGGCCGCCCCGCGCCACACTCCGCCTGTGGCTGGGCTGCGTCTGCCTCGCGCTCGTGCAGGCGGGTAAGGGGGCCCGGGCTGGGGCTCGGCGCGGGCTGGGCGGCGGGAGCCCTCAGTTCCTTCCCCCCCGCTCTCCCCGCTCCCTGGGAACCCGTCTCTACCCCCTCACTGCTGCTCCCTAACACCACCCTCAGCCTCTTCCCTGCCATCTTAACCCCCAATCCCATCCTCCAGCCCCTCCCCATCCTTTCCAGCCACCCCAGCCCTGGGATGTGGACCTTGTGATCCTCAGTCCCCTCATTCCATTGCCCTGAGCCTAGGCCTTTGCCTCAGTTGTCCTGGCTCCCTTCTCTGGCCCCGGGAGCATCTGAGGACACCAGTCCCCCCACCGTGGGCCTCCCTCCCTGTCCCCAAAGGCTGCAGGCCAACTCCACAGGTCAGAGAGGAACGGGGTCCCAGTAGGGTCCCAGTGTGCGTGAGCATGTGTGTGAGGACATGTATGAGGACTGGCCCCGGTGGCACCTGGTGGGTGAGGGTGGCCCCCTTAGCCTGGTGCAGTCGGTGTCTGGCCTGTCCCGTGAGGCCTGGCCTCATCCTCGCCCAGCCTCCCTGAGGCTCGCTCTCTCTCTCTGTCCCTTCTGGCTGCCGCTCCCTCCTTCATGTCTCCCTGTGCATCTCTCCGTGGCCCAGCACTGCCTCTCTCACTGCTTCCATCAGTGTGTCTGTCTCTGACACCCCACTGGACCGCTGTCTGGTCTGTGTGCCCCCACCCGCCTGTGTCCCTCTGGCTCCCAGTCCACGTCTGGCTTTGTCTCCTCTTGGATCTCAGACCCACTCATCTGTGGGGTGAGGGTGCGGCTCAGGCCCAGGTCTTCCCCCGTCAGCTCCTGCCCATCGTGAGATAGAGGCTGTGTGACTCCACTGACCTCCTAGAAGGTTCTTCCTTCCCCGACCCCCGGTGCCCCACCACTTCCTCCTGCTCCCTTCTCAGCTGACCCCCTTCCACCCTCTTCCCACATCCAGAAGGCGCCACCTACCCTGTGTTCTTGATTCCTGCTCTGAGTGACCCGGTCCCCCTGCCACCCCCACCTGGCCCTCAAGCTCACAGAGGCCCTCCCACTTCGCTCTGCCTGGATCGCGGCGGCAGTCCGGGGGACCCTCTCTCCGTCCTCACCCAATGCCAGGGCTCCCCCCAGCCTGCCGTTTCTCGGCCCACGCATCTTACCCCTTTCCTCAAGGTCACTCAGTTGACAGTGCAGAACTGTGGAAAGAGCACTGGGCTGGGATTCCTTTGACTGCTTTCCATCAGACTACCCTTCAGCTCCTGCAGCCCTGGCTAGCTGTGTCCCCCCAGCCAGCCCCCCCCTTCACGCCCCCCCCATTAGAGCTAGCTGGGGCCCAGGCCCCTCAGTTTCAGCTTGGACCCCGAGTAGGGCCACTTGTGGCCATCTGAACACAGGGAGCCTGGGCCCTCTCTGGCCTGGCCCTGCCGCCCTCCAAGGGACTGAGGCCCAAGTGCCACGCCATGGAGGCCTTGGTTCTTCCTCCCCCCACTGCATGGCCTGCCCCAGGTTTCCACCCCTGAGGCAGAGGGCCTGGGCCTCCCAGCAGGGGGGGCTCAGGCTCAGGTGCCTTCCTGTCCCCAGACAGCCCCTCTGCCCCAGTGAATGTCACTGTCAGGCACCTCAAGGCCAACTCCGCGGTGGTGAGCTGGGATGTCCTGGAGGATGAAGTTGTCATTGGATTTGCCATCTCTCAGCAGGTAACCCTCCGGGAGGGAAGAGCACATCCAGACAGCAGGGGTCGATGGGGCAGGAGAAAGGAAGAGGACTGAGGAGCAAGGCGAACGGGTAGAGAGTTGTACATAAGGCTTGAAAGGGGGGGCTCCAGAGGGGCTCAGTCAGTGAAGGGGGCTCCGGAGCCTTTGTTTGGAGCCTGAGAACTAAGAGTGTGGTTTGGATCTTAAACAGACCTGAGGTTTGGACCTGGCTCTGGTCCTCACGAAATGTGTGGCTGTGGGCCGCTTCCCTGCCCTCTCTGACCTGTCTCCCCATCTATAAATGGCGATGGTGATACCTGCAGAGATGAGGGGATGCAGAAGTCAGGTCCTGTATGCAGAGGGCTTAGCACGGTAGCCGGGTGAGCCTGTTATCGCCACCAGGGAGGCGCAGAGTAGGGCGGCGACTGAGCCCTGAAACAGGTGGCTCTTGCCTTGGCAGAAGAAGGACGTGCGGATGCTGCGCTTCATCCAGGAGGTGAACACCACCACCCGCTCGTGCGCCCTCTGGGACCTGGAAGAGGACACAGAGTACATCGTGCACGTGCAAGCCATCTCCATTCAGGGCCAGAGTCCGGCCAGCGAGCCAGTGCTCTTCAAGACCCCGCGAGAGGCGGAGAAGATGACCTCCAAGAACAAAGGCAGGCCCCTTTGCTGTTTGGGGGTGGAGGGTGGGGAAGGGCTGGTCAGGGCCACAGCAGTAGGAGATTGGGTACATAAACGCTTAGTTCTGGACTGTCTTATTGCTGCGACTCCAAGTAACCATCAACACATTCCAGAACCTTTTTTTAAAAGATGTATTTATTTACTTTTAGAGAGGAAGGGAGAGAAAAAGAGGGAGAGAAATGATGTGTGAAACATACATCAATCGGTTGCCTCTTGCACACCCCCAACTGGGGACCTGGACCACAACCCAGGCATGTGCCCTGACCGGGAATCGAACCAGTGACCTTTTGGTTTGCAGGTCAACGCTCAGTCCACTGAGCCACACCAGCCAGGGCTACAACTCCCTTTTTTTTTTTTAAAGATTTTATTTATTTATTTTAGAGAGGAAGGGAAGGAGAGAAATATCAATGTATGGTTACCTCTCGTGAGTCCCCTGCTGGGAACTGGCCTGAAACCCAGGCATGTGCCCTGACTGGGAATTGAACCGCGATCGTGTGGTTCACAGGCCTGCGCTCGATCCACTGAGCCACACCAGCCAGGGCTACAACTTCCTTTTGATAGATGTGTGGGCACCTATAGAAACAAGCACTCAGTGTCAGGCTCGGCCGCAGAGAAATGGCTGGCGGAGGACAGGAGCCCAGCCCTGTTTTCTCTCTCCCCACAGACGAGGTGACCATGAAGGAGATGGGGAGGAGCCAGCAGCTGCAGACGGGCGAGGTGCTGATCATCGTCGTGGTCCTGTTCATGTGGGCCGGTGAGTCTGACCTCCGGGCCCTTCTCCACCCCACCTCGGGGCTGGGGAGGACCCTCACCAGACCCTTCTCTCACAAAAACAAAGGGTGAGGGGTTTGGAGAGGGCTACGAGGTCAGAAGTTCCAACTCCTGCCTGGGACAGCTCTGGGGACCAGATCTGCGCCCTTCTCTAACTCAGCCCTCACCAAAAAAAAAAAAACAGCGGAGGGGGAACTGCCTTGCGGTGACATCCGCAGCCCCTCTGGCCGCTGCGCTGCGGGTCCCTGGGCCTCCGGGAGCAACTCAGGCTCGGGACACGCGCTCACCTCCTCATCCTTCTGCACTGGCTCAGAGACGCCTCCGTAAAACCTCCCCAGTCCGAGCACCAGAATGTCACTCCTGCCTCAGTGCCTCCGCAGCGCAGTTTGCCCCTCCTCCCACTTTTAAACCCCACTCAAGGATATGTTCACTGATTTTAGAGAAAGAGGGAGAGAGAGAAACATCGATGTGAGAGCAGCGTGGGTCAGTTGCCTCCCATGTGCACCCCACCCAGGCATCGAACCCACAACCTTTTGGTGTGTGGGACAGTGCTCCACCCAGGTGCGCCACCTGGCCAGGGATGTTTGTCCCTCTCTTCAGCCCATCTTAGATAAGTTAGTTGGACTTATATCTCTTTTCCCATTTATCTGTGAGCTCCCTGAGGATCAAGATCAAGTCTCATTTTTGTCCTTGGCCAGCGTGGCCGGCACAGCCACCCCATATGTACAGCGCTGCCCTCCAGGTAGCGCTACGGCTGTGACGGAGGAGAGGCAGCCTCGGGTTCCCAAGCAGCTCGGTCTGGGAGCAGCCAGGCCCCTCCTTACCTGTGACTCAGTGGGACGAGTGCCGAATAGGACCTTGTGTGGGAGCAGAGGAGGGGAATCAAAACAGGAAAGGCACGAAGAGCGGTAACGTGGATTTGAGCATGGCAGGGTGAATAGGAGTTCGCCAGGCAGCCAAAAAGAGGAAGGAAGGGTGTTCTGGGCACTGTGTGTTCAAGAAACAAATGAAGTTCACTCTGGCTCAGTGCAGCTGGGAGCCAAGGAAAAGGGTGAGAAGTGGGGGAGTCAAGGATGGTGAGGCCGTGCAGCGGACTGGAGTCTGTTCTGAGGGACCTGGCCGCCGTGCCGAAGCTGCGTTAGCATGGCGGGTGGGAGGGCCGGCTCTCTCAGGTAGAAGAATTTGGAAAACAATGTCCCACAGGCACATAGAAAAGCAGGCACTTGGGAAAAAGCAGGCAAAAACAAAGGTTTATACAAAAGAGGAGGTTTGCTTATGGTGCATTATTAGACTTGGCACAGATAGTATTACATCATCACAACAATATAAACAGTGAATTAACCCACAGTTGTCACGTGATTCTGTTAGGGTGGCAGGGAAGGAAGCAGGGGGAGTTGTGAGGCTTTATACACATTCAGCAGGGTACAGGCACTGGGGCGCACATCCCAGCTCTGCCCCTGGGCGGCCTTGCGTGGCAGCATCCCCTCTCCTAACCCGGGCGAGGTGAGGGACCCTCGCGGTGCTGTGAGGGGCGAGTCGGCTAGAGTGGGTCAGTGCCCAACACGGGGCTTGCCGCGTGTTTCTGTTCTCCCCTAAAAGATAAGAGGATTCAGAGATTTAAAAGGGGGGAAGGGAGGAGACACAATCACATGCATGTTGTAGAGGCCAACCCAGCGGCAGCGAAGGGGACGGTTGGCAAGGTCACAGGTTGGACGCAGGAGCCGGAGGCCAGAGGCAGACTGTTGCAGTTGTGCAGGTGAGAGACCATCTGGAGCTCGGCACCTGACAGGAGCTCAGCACCTGACAGGAGCTCAGCAAGTGCTCATGGGAGCGAGGCAGGTGGCGAGGACTCTGACTGCTCTCCCTTGTCCCCCCAGGCGTCATTGTTCTCTTCTGCCGCCAGTACGACATTATCAAGGACAACGAACCCAATAACAACAAGGAGAAAGCCAAGAGTGCGTCAGAAACCAGCACACCTGAGCACCAGGGCGGGGGTCTTCTCCGCAGCAAGGTGAGGGCTGGACTGGGACCTGAGTGGGTGGCCCCAGGTCTCCTGCACTGGGAGTCCCTGGATGGCAGAAGGGGTCAGCTCTGGGCCTGGCATGCCTGCAGCCAGGCTGAGCCAAGCCTGGCTGCTGCCTGTGTAACCCAGGGGATACTGCAAATTGATTTTGGATCCTGTCCTTCTGCAGGGAGCCAGGGGCCGGTCGGGGTTAAGAGTGGGGGCCCGGGAAGCGAATGGGGAGGACAGAACTCCTGACTGGTGTGGGACAAGAAGAGAAGGGCTTCCGAGCTCATCTCTGCTCCGGCTGTGCTGTGTGACCTTGGGCAGGTGCTTCATTACTCTGCATCTTCATTCCCTCTTGTGTAAAACAGATATGAAACCTTTCCAGTGCTGGCTCTGAGCAGCGCCGAAGACAGACAGTAGAGGATGTGAGAGGATCTCATGGTTCTGATGATGATTATCCAACAAACACCTGGCCCTCTCTACATTTCCTCCTCCCTGCACCCTAAACCCTCTGGCGTTCCGTCCTGTCTCTTGGCTTCTCTCTTTCTGGCACATTTTCCTGAAGCCTCTTATTAACCCCCATCTCCAGAAGCACCTCAACAACGTCTGTGGCTGAGGCTGTACTGAGAGGCAGATCTGCAGGATGTGAGAACCAGCCAGCAGGATGGCTCTGCGGGGGTGGACTTGGTACCAGGGACGGTGGGTCCAGGACCCGGGCTTGGCCATTTGCTGAGTGCAGCTGAAGGCTGGGTTTGGAAAGGCCGAGACGAGACACCAGGCAGGGCTGCTTCCTTCTCATACTCTCTCTGCTTCCAACCTCACAAGAAGTCTGTTCAGTTAGCCCTGGCCACTTCTCTCATCTTCCCCTCCCAGTTTTCAAACAAGCTCTCGGTGAACATCATCGAAGCGTGACCCCCTGTCTGCAGGGAGAAGGATTTTTCTTCTCTGCTGGTCCCCAGGTCCACAGGCACAGGGAGAGGGAGGGCCGCGGTGGGGGGAGGTGCAGCCAGCTGCACCCTTGTCTCTCCCGCCATGTCCAAGTCTGGTGAAGGAGGCTGAACTACAAACCCAAATTCTGCAAAAAATAAACAAGCCGCACCACTCAAAGGCCTGGCCCCATTCTGTAAAAGGCAAAGCTGCATGAGACACGGCCTCCTTTCTGCCTCTTCTCGTCTCCTGGACTGGATTTCTTCCTGAGAAGATGCACAGACTTCTGGGAGATGACGGGAACCTAGACTGACCGAAGCTGTTGTTCAGACCAAGGACCCCCAGGGAAGCCACGGGGCCACCCGCCGGCAGGGTCACGGCTGCCATCAAGCCTTCTCTGGATCCAGCCATCAAGGACTCGTTTGTGGTGTGAGGCGCAACTTTGTGAGTGTGACATGTTACCTGATTTGTCTCTTGGAAAACACGACCGAAGGGCTCCACTCCAGGGAAGAGAAGGGCTGCCCGAGCTGGCTGCCTGCATCCTGGCTTCTCTGGCCCTTCCTTTGACTGTAGAACCGTCAGTCTGGGCCTCTAAGAAGGAAAAGTTGAAAGACACCTGGAAGGTATGGGCCCCATTTCTTCTTGAGGAAAATCTCTCAGAGTTGTTTCAACGCTAGCTTGGACAACAGAAAAGGAACATTCCCACGGGTCATCCTGAGGACCGCTGGACCACGAACACTAGTGGGAGCTGCTGGAAGGCAGGCCTGGCCTCTGGGGTCTCCATATCTTGCCATCTCATCCAGGGTTCTGTGAAAGCTAGCCAGGGTCCTCATGTCCTTCCCTAGAGCCTGTGTGGTGTGAGGTGACAGGTGTCTCTCTCCACTGCCCCTTTCCGGTTAAAAAAAAAAAATGGTGCTTGATGAGGGAAGACAGACTCTTCTCTAGACAAGTTACAGCTGCTGAGTGCCTGCACGGGGAGAGACGGACCTCTGCATCTTCCTGCAGTGGCTACAGGCAGGAGTGTGGGAGGACTGCGCCTAGCACAAGCGTGGCACACAGTAGGTGCTCTGTGAATACCTGTTGAACTGAATAAGAGCAATAGCCCCCAAGCCAGAGAGCTGCAAGCCATCACCCAGTGACCACCCCTTGCTTCCGGTCTATAAAAGCTCTCCTGGCCGGGCCAGCCACCAGTCTGCAATGCCCGAGTGTGAAGCAGAGGGAGGGAGGAGGGACAGGGGAAAAGGCAGATGTTGGCAATACTAAGGGCTTCCTCATGGGAGGGCATGAGGCTTCACTCATTGTCTTGTGACTTCCATCCCTGCTGAATGGGGCTGCAAGGCCAAGGCTCCTTAGGGGAGAGGTCCTTACCTCTGATCCAGTTCGAGCAATAACCACTTTTTAAATGTAAAATAAAGAGACAAATGAAAAGGCACATCCTTGTCGTCTGGTAAATGCCCAAACGTTGCCCTCTTTTTCTGGCGGTTGGCAGCCAGTCAGTTCTCTCTCCATTTTGGCCTGCAGCTTCCCAGGGACACGCCTGCCAGCCAAGCTGGAGTTGGAAGGCAAATCTTGAACAGATGGGGGTGCACGTGTAGGAGGAGAAAATAGCTGCTCCATCCCCGCCCCCCAAACCAAGCTTAGGCTGCCTCACCACATAGGTATGCAGGCTGGTGCTGTTTTTAAAACAAAGGGCTTTCCCCTCGGCTGGGGCTGGTGCTCTCCATGGCCGAAGGAATGCTGTTCCATCTCTCCCAGGGGTGAGGAGGGAAGTGAAGGGCACTGCCAAAGCTGCCTGCTGCGAGCAGCACAGTGGGCGCAGCGCGCTGTTCGGGGCCGGGAAAGGAACATCACTCGGATCCGAACGGCAGACTGCAAGGTAGAGCGATGGTGCCTTTAGCTAAGGAGCAAACCGTGTTCGGGGCACCTCGCACATTTTGATCAGAACCAGCAGGAGCTCAGGCAGCAAATGTCTGAGCTCAGGGAAGGCTGTTCTGAGAGCAGAAGGGAGCAGGTCTCAGAGGCTGAGTGGGAAATTCATTAGCACACGGAGCTCTAAGCCAAATCCCAGAGCGCTACTTCCCAGGTCCTCGGTCTGCGTCGCCGAATGCTGGAGGAGCCCCCGAGTCAGCGTCAGGCGGAGGCAGCCGTGGGTGGGATTCAGGAAGCACTGCTCACGGCAGTTTCCTGTCTCCCCCTAGTCTGTATGCAGTGCATCAGCCGAGGGGACGAGGGGAGACGAGCGAACACACTCCTGGCTCAAACTCCACTGCCTTTTAATTAGCTCCCTACACCCCTGAGTTCTTTTAACAATTGAGCTTTTCCTGAATCAACATAATGGCACAGAACCCCACAGCTATGACTTGGGAAGTGGTCCTTTCTGCACCGCTCACTTAGCTCCACAGACTCCTCACAGTGTGGGCGGGGCCCAGGCCAATTCTGAGACTGAGCTCGGACTTGCAGACCACACAGAAGCCTGTGGAGAGGATGCAGGACTGACCGGCAGGGATGCGTGCGGCTCAGTGTGTTGATCGCCTTGGGATGCACCTAACACCTCAGGCCAGTTACTGGGGAGGAGGGCGGTTTCATCTGCCAAAACAAAGCGGTAAGGACAGAGGACTCCCAGGTGCCCCCCACCACACCTGGACTGGGCACTTGGGTCTGTTCCTCCTCAGTCCAGCTCCCTCAAGCACTAGCTTTTCAGGATGGGTGACCTCTAGAATCCACTCCTAAGATCTCTAATTCAGCTCTTTACAGAAATACATAAATTCAGACCTCCCCTTTACTTCTCACCTCCTTTAAACCTATTCCAGTTTTTGGATTTTGCTTTCAACAAGTGGCCACCAAGAACAAATTGTGTATATAAACAGGACGCCACACCTCCCCCAGCCCCAGCTCCAACCCCACCGAGTCCCCAAAATATTTCCAGACCCTCAAATGTCACTGGAAGCTGCATCGAAGAGCTTGCAAACAGTGCCTTCATGATACATTTCAGGACGAACACATGGACTGTTTTGAAGATTATCCAAATGATTACACTCCACCCCCTTCTTAATGGATGCTAGGGAGGGTCAGGTTTTCTTTCTGTCTACGGAATGTTCCAGCTGTCACGGGGGATGACAGGTGGGGAGGCAGGGGCTGGTTCACTGAGGAATTCCACCACTGACCAGCTGACACTTCTGGTGACAAGGGGCAATTCCCCTCACCCCGCCCCCCCACCCCCACCCCCGCCCCAACAGGTGCTCTGGCATACAGTGCAGGCCTGCTTTGAATCAGCCCCGGGAATAACCCGTTCTCTCTTAGAAAAGCAGAACACCACTCAGAAGAGCAGGGGACTGTTTTTCTAGTTTTAGGTGCCTGTTTTTGTCCCCACCCCACCCCACCGTAAAAGCTCAAAACAGGAGAATGCTTTAAAGAATGGTTACAGAATGAGCCCATTCCTTTTAGAGAAGGTCGGTTTCTCCTCCCCTTCCCATAACATGGAACAAACAAAGGATAAGAGAGGGACACACCATTTCAGAAAATCCAGCCCGGTCTCTGAAGCCCGCAATCCCATATTGGTAAAAAGGAAATAAGCAATTAGCGGACACAGGCTCATCTACCTGACTGGGTTAAAGCAGAGGTGTACGGGCCAGACAGCCCTCATATCCGGGCGAGAATATCAAACAGTATTTAGCAAATTTAAACTGAACCTTTTGCTTGGACTGTAAAATATATACTAGATAAAATTTATAGAGCAGCAGCACAGAAAGCCTGTCCAAACATGTCGCCACTTATTTTCTCAGTAAGAGCTGAGATTTGAAAAGCACTGGCTGACATAGGTGCTGAGCTATTACTGCCGTCCCTTTCATCCTTGCCCCTGGGGGGTAAGTCTAAGAAGCTCAGGTTCACAAAAGGATCTAAGGAACACTGTCTACCCGTACTTATCCAACCTTCAGCCCAGATTCTAGGAGCAGTCAATTTCCAAAGAACCGTCAATTTTGTACTATCAATTCTGACTTCACAACCCTTTCAAAGGGAGAATGTCCCAGGAGAGGGTCTTCCTTAATCAGGGCTAACTCTGGAGAGTAGACACGAAGGCCGGCCACACAAACATGGGAAGAAGGCAAGGTGACGCCTATCTGATTGGGCTGAGCCCTCCCCCCTCCGCAGGAACGGCAGCGCAGTGGTATTTCGGGCTCTCCCCACGTCAGGCTCCTGACATGCCCTATATGCAGCTGCAAATCCCAATCACTTCCAACCTCCCTTCACTGCTGGAACGCCGTTCTCAACACTGTAATTTACCCTCCAAAGAACAGGGAGCACGCACCCTTGCCTCCCCAGTACCACATTCTACTAATTGCCGCCCCCTCCCATATCCCACTAACCTGCCTACGCAAAGGAGGAAGGACCCTCCCTTCCAAGCCTGCAGCAGACGGTCCCAGAGCATATGCCACTAACGAGAACTTTTATTTCTTTTTAATGACATTAAACACAACTGCTACAAGAGAAGAAAACATGATAAAGAGGAGGCACCAAACTTGTTTCATAATTGATCCTGACAACAACTCAAGTAGCACAGGGTCCGCATTAGAGGCAAAACTACAAATAAACCACATAAACAGCACGTTTTTACTCTGCTTTATCAATCCCCCTGTGGTGAGAATGTCTTCATGGATGAAGGAAGCTGGTCAGGCAGTTAAATGTACATAACGTGAAATACAGCAAGAATTCCACATGAAATACTAGGCTTAGAGGCCAACACCAAACATGAGATGCATCTTTAAAAATATTAAAACTCCAGATTTCACCCACTACCACCTTTAAGGCGAGCATGCCTGATAATGAGTTTTCTTTAGCTTTTTTCCTCCTTAAAGAATATCATGTGAACTGCTCGAGAACAGTTTCTCCTCCTCCAGTCCAACAGATTTAATTAAGCTGCTAAAGCTTTGGAAAAACAGAATTATGTGAGCAGAGAGGAAATGTGATTGTCACATTTTATAGTTAACCCGTCAGTCATTTGATTGGCAAAGGTGATGCTCCCATTACACATTCAGACTTAAACCCTTTTGCACCGAGAAAGCAGAAACATGAGTCTTAGATTTTTGCCAAAGCGAAGCACTGTCCCTTTAATGGGCTATCTATGGGGAACCAGCACGCTATTCCAGCTATAATTATAATGGAATGTAACTATATAATTGTAACAGCCATGCTGTGCTCCCAAAGGTAGATGTTTGCTCGTCTCACTCTCTCAAGCTAATTTCGGGAAACCTGGAGAAGTGACTCATGACTGACAACAAAAACAGATTTGACCCTTGCCTTTGAACAGAACTTTTTAGCATTTTGGTCTCAGAATTAAACCAAATGTCCAAAGAGCAAGAATCCTTAACTGGATAAAAACAGTAAATACTTAGGGGCATCCATCTACATTTATTGGTGGCTGAACGACCAAGCTTTTCCCAAGTCCGTTTCTGAAGCAGGGAAGGATGTTCCGGATAGGTCACTCACAACAGAGACGGGGCTGGTGAAGCCACCAAACCAGACAGAGGCAGCTGGCCCGGTGTCACAGGCTGCACTTCAACGACTAGGTACGACCTCCACAGACAGGGAGCAGCAGCACGAATGCCGGACTGCACCATCACCCACACGACGCCTTGGGCTGTCCGTCCGCAAAGAAACAGCAAATGGCTAAGACAGGCGTGAAGAGGGCTGCACAAAGCCTGTCACTCGGGTTTGCAGCCTGATAAGGGACCTCTTCCTCAGACATGAAGAAGATGAATTTTGGGCACCAGTAAACTTTACTCCTGCATGAAGGCGTGGGTTTGCTTAGGCCAGGGGCGTTTTGGCTTAATGTTGGCTTTCAGGAGGCAGCCACCTTCAATTTAAAGAAAATAAAAACTGTATCAACTGAACACTGCTTACACACCACACACACACATACACACACACATGAACTTTATACAAAAAATTCAAGTCAGCAATGGGCATTTCCAAAAGGTGACAAGTTCTTTAAATAAAAATATTGTGAAAAATAAAACTCAAACTCTCCGAAGCACAAAAGAGCAGGAGATGAGCGGCTGCTCGGGACAGGACGCCACACAGGGACGTCCACTGTGGGTGGGACGTGGCGAGCGAGCTGCACGGGAGGTCGTCTCAAAGACTCTGGAACCGCTGGTGGCTTCGCTGATTCCTGTCCACCCACTCGGTCAGACTGTACCTCTCCAGAGGTTTCGGTCGGAACCGGGCATAGTTTCTATCAGGAGAGAGGGAAGGAAAACCAGAGAAGATGAAGGCTCCGGCTGGCATGGCCATGTGTATACCACCATTTTAAGAATATCATTACTTAAAGAAATCAAGTATGAATTTTTATATTTTAATTCTCACAACCATTACAGAAGTTTTATATGAAACTTACATTAGAACTGCTGTTTCCTTCCACATTCCAAAGCTATCCAATTCCCCTCAGACAGGCAATATGGTGTAAGTGGCACATGCACAAATGTTCCAAGAAAGCCCCATGTACAATGCGCGCTAATGATTAAGTGGGGAACACTCCTCCCCCCAGAAACATTTAGAACAGGATCTACATCTCAATGCTTGCATCGGAGTTGTACTTCCGGCTATGCCGGCCTCACTGTCTGGCACAGCTCAAGGTTGCTCAGGACACAGCAGTTAAAATTAGAATAAAATTCCCAGAGAAGGTAAATTGTCATGTGAGTATCACACTCCAAGTTTGGAGACTGAACAATTAATAGCAGACTTAAGGGTTTCTTGAGAGCCTCTTCAGTCGTGTGCTGGGCTGGGCTCTGGACATGACCCACTGAGCTGATGGAAGTCCAGTCTCAACTCCAGCCGCTCCTAACGACCACCTGGGAGGCTTTTTAAAGATAGTGATTCTTAGCCCCCGTCTCACCACCAGACTTACTGATTTATAATCCTCGTAGTCAGAGCCTGGACATCTGTATTTTTAGACACCCCACAAGTGATTACAAGGAATAGCCAGGATTGAAAATAATTCTAACAGTACCTGGCGTTTACCTGGCCCTATATGTAAGCACTTGCTGAATTCTTGAAGCACCTCATCTCATTCAATGCTAATGGCAATCCTGTGAGAAAAGCACTCTCATTAACAACTTGTACACAAAGGAAACTGATCTTCAGGTGAAACAACTTGCTCAAGGTCATAGAGGTCATATAGTGAAGTAGAAGGGCCAGGATGTGAATGCACGCCTGACTCCAGAATTTACCTAATAACCATTATACTACACTGTCTGACAGCCACAGAGGAAACAACGAGTGTACAGGCTGAAGTAAAGAGTGTCTAAAATGCTTGAAAAATAGCAAGTTCGCCAGTGTGACTGGAGCAGAGTGAACAAAGCACAGGCAGCAGGAGATGAGGTTGGCGAGCTGACTGTGTCGCCAGAGGCTGCCATCCTTACAGGAGACGTAGGGGTCAGGGAGACGGGAAGATGCGAGGTGAAAAGCCGCCGGGAAATTCTGAGCGAACACGAGGATCTGAGTCATGACTTGTGCTCTGAAGACCTCTCTGCCTGCAGAGCTGAGAACGAAGGCGAGGGCAACAGCAGGAGCGGGGAGGCCATTTCAGGAGACGTGCAATAATCCAGGGGACAATGGTATAAAATGGGTAGGTTTTAGATGTACTTTGTATGTACAGCTTATAGGATTTTCGAATGGACTGAATATAGGTAAGAGAGAAAGGAGTCAAAGATGACTCCAAGGTCTCTGGGTAACGGGATCAAAGAAACTGAATAAATCTGTAAAATAACACTGCATCAAGAATCCAGATTTCACAACTAGAAAGGCCCTTTGACATCCATTAGTCCAACACCTTAATTTTACTGATGCGAGGACCAGAGAAGTAAAGTAATTAGATCAAAATCATATAGCTAAGCCTTGGCTGGTGTAACTCAGTGAGCTGGCTGTCATCCAACAAAATGAAAGGTTGCCGGTTCAATTCCCAGTCAGGGCACATATGCCTGGGTTGCAGGCCAGGTCCCTGCTTGGGGGCATGCGAGGGGCTACCAGTCGATGCTTCTCTCATGCACCAATGTTTCTGTTCTCCCTCTTACTCCCTCCCTTCCCCTCTCTAAAAATAAATTAAAAAAAAATCATACAGCTAATTAAAAACTGCAAGGCTAGTATTAGAACTAGGTTTCCTGAATTTCAGTCCAGTTCTTATTCCATTATACTGTATTGTTTCTTGTTCCAGCTCTGGAATTAAAGAACAATTATAACCCAACTCCCCACCACATTCCTCCTGTGGCTAAATCCACCCTCTCCTCCTTCTTTCTAATCCCCCACTCACCGAATGGTGAGGTCCGAAGGATGCGAATGGTTATGCATATGATGAACTTGATCCATCAAAGAATACAGTTCCACCAAGGCACCTGTGAGACAGAGCAGTGGTTAGGAAGCCACTCAGCGAACTTCCATGTCAGCCTAGGTCAAAGCTTCGGAGAAGGAGAAAACAGGCGCTGGCCCTAACCCTGTCTGTTTATGACTATTACAAGCACTCGGCACAAAAACTACAAACTAGTGAGGAAAGCTTGTTCTTGGATGGTGATGATGATGATAATGAAGAATAACAATAACGATAGCCACCATTCATTCATTCTTTCATTCAGTAGTTATTAGCTCCTACAATGTGTGAAGAACTTTACTGGCCCCTAGAATATGGTGGTATATAAGACACTGTACCTGCCCTCAGGTGATTCCAAAATTTGTAATATGTACAGCGACAAAAAATATAGGCTGCAATGTGAGCAGAGAATGGGGGCTGGGGGCTAAGACAAAGTCCCCTCCAAGGGAAGTAAACTATAAGCAAGGATCTAAAGAATGTAAGAAGTTAGTGAGATAAAGGATAGAAGGTGGGAGTGTCCAAGAGAAATTGCTAATACAAAGGCCTAGAGACAGGAGACAGCAAAACACATTCAAGAAAGAAGAAACTGAGAAGTGAAGGGGGATGGGGGCTTTTTGCTCAACAAGAAAAATTGCTGAAGGCAATTTCTCAAGTACCCGGGAGTCTAGCAAGGTGCTAGTATGCATTTTACATGCTACCTTAATTCTAAAAATGCCTTAATATGGAGATAAATGCTATCACTACCATTTTAGGGATGGAAAACCATAGCTCAGGGAGGTAGACTTGCCTTAAGTGCTTATTAAACTGGACTCTAAACTAGCTCCTGTTGGAGTCCAGCTCTGCCACTATTCCATGACATTAATTTTGCAATTAAGGGCTGAAATGTAGGCTGAAGCTCACAAGAGCAGAAATTATCATCAGATGGAGGTATTATAAAACAGATGGCTGGGCCCTAACCCCAGAGTTTCTGATTCTGAAGGTCCAGGTGGGACCTGAGACTTTGCATTTCTAACAGATGCCCAAGTGATGCTGACGCTGCTGGTTTGGGAATGACACTTTGAAACCCACTGCCCTGGACAGTGGAGATTTTTCCCTCAGCCAGTTTACATATTTCTCATTATCACATCTACTGTGCTCTCAGGAACCAACAGCACTCTAACTAGGCTACAGACCCTCTTTTCAAGTTCTGGTAAAAAATATTAGCCCTGGCTGGTGTAGCTCAGTGGATTGAGCGTGGGTCTGCAAACCAAAGAGTCACCAGTTCGATTCCCAGTCAGGGCACATGCATGGGTTATGGGCCAGGTCCCCAGTAGGGGGCTCACAAAACACAACCACACACTGATGTTTCTCTTCCTCTCTTCCCCCTCCTTTCTCCCCTATAAACAAACAAATAAATAAATTTACTTAACTTTTAGGACCAATTTAATTTATCTGAAGCCTCAAGGAGCTGAACTTTGTACAAAAAGTATATACTTTGGAGTCAGGCATATGAATTAAAATTCCAATCCAGTCACTAACTAACTTTAACCCTAAGCAAATGATTTCATTTCTTCTAGCCCTACTTTATTCATCAAGGAACAGTGGACAATGATATTTACTTGAAGCTGAGCACTGAGAACAGAGTCCACAAGAGACCTAGCACAGTGCCCGGCACACAGCCCGTGTGCAGTGAGTAGCAGCCGCCAATTACTGCGGTGTTGTGGCCTCGGCACTGTGTTGGTTTATAACGAGCCTTTAAATGCTACGACAGTCCATCGCGACTTGTAAGGAAAAATGCCTAATAAATGCATCAGTCTACATATGAACTATGATACGCAGCAGCACTCAGCAAAACTTCTAACCATAATGAGATAATACTTTTCAGGAAAAATTTATAGATCCATTACATTAAAAGTTTTTGTGCAGTTAAAATAAAAAAGCACAACCAAGCCCTGGCTGGCGTAGCTCAGTGGATTGAGCGCGGGCCTGCGAACCAGAGTATCGCGGTTCGATTCCCAGTCAGGGCACATGCCTGGGTTGCAGGCCAGTTCCCCACAGAGGACGCATGAGAGGCAACCATACATTGATATTTCTCTCCCATTCTTTCTCCTTCCCTTCCCCTCTCTCGAAAATAAATAAATAAAATATTTAAAAAAAAAAAGCACAACCAAGGACAAAAGATGACAATTGACAAAATGAAAATATATCTGAAACATATTTGGCAAGGGTTTAATGTCCCTTTTCTAGAAAAATAATCACAAGCACAACAAACATAACACAAATAGGTCAAGGATATGAACAGGCAATTTACAAAAGTAACATGTGCACAATAAACAATAAAAACATGCTCAATATCACTAGATGGAAAGAAAACATATTAGTCTCATGTTGTAAGTTAATATAAATTGGGAACAAATTTCCCCTTTAAAAAGGGAAGTAACATTTTACTTTTAAAGATTTTATTTATTTATTTTTAGAGAGAAGGGGAGGGAGAGAGAAACATCCACGTGTGGTTGCCTCTCGAGTGCCCCGCTACTGGGGACCTGGCCCACAACCCAGCCATGCGTTCTGACAGAATCGAACCTGCAACCCTTTGCTTTGCAGCCCGCGCTCCATTCACTGAACTACACCAGCCTGGACTACACCCTACTTGTACGTCACTGACATCCATTCCCTCTTGCCCCCACAAAAGGACACTGTACTGGGGCAAAAATCAGCTTTGAATCATCAAAGGAGGGCTAGCAAGATACGCCCTGGCTGGTGTGTGGCTCAGTGGACTGAGCACCACACTGTGAAGCAACGGGCCACTGGTTTGATTCCCAGTCAGGGCATGTGCTTGGGTTGTAGGCCAGGTCCCCAGTGGAAAGCCACTGAGTGACAACCACACATTGATGTTTCTTTCTCTTTCTCCCTCCCTTCCCCCTCTCTAAAAATAAGAAAATAAAAATTTTAAAACAATTAAAAACAAACAAAACAAAACAGAAATGGAGATTCTGGTGTCCAATCTTAAAATGAAACAAGATTATCTATAGGCCGTGCCCTTCAGTTCACTCTTTTCTTACCACCTAGATTCTATAAAATTGCCCAGAAACCTATACACTTTAAACTAAAAGAAGAAAAAGATTAGTCAGTTAGGCCATGGAGGCTTCACGTATTCAACTGTTAGGTATCATAATATAGCAGCAGCAATTTACCTATCAGGCACTGTCCTATATGTATTAACACATTTATTCCTTGTAACAATCATATGTGGTATTTCCATTTTAGAGATGCAGAAAATGAGACACGGAGAAGTAATCTGTTCAAAGTTAAACAGCTACTGACAGAGTCCGAATTTCAACAATACCATGTTTCGAATGTTCTTTAAAATTTTTCTGGGACTGCCCTGATTAGTGTGACTCAGTTGGTCATACTGCAAAGCAAAAGGTCGCTGTTTGATTCCCAGTCAGGGCACATGTCTGGGTTGCAGACTTGGTGCCTGGATGGGGCATGTGAGGCAACCACCTGATGTCTCTCTCTCATACTGGCATTTTTCTCCCCCACTTTCCCATTCCCTTCTTCTTAAAAATAAATAAAATAATTAAAAAAAAAACAACCAAGGAAGGAAGGAGCACTTGTTTACACAGTGCTATGCCTTATTTACCTGGCACAGCACTATGTAAACAAGGACTCAGTAATTAGGTCCCAGCTCATGCACAAAAAATGTTAGTTTCCATTAGCACTTAGAACTTAATGATGAACTATGGTAACCTTTCTTATTAATAAGACTTAATGCTCTAGAGATAATAAGAGCTAACATTTACCAAGCATTTATTTTGTGCCAGGCACTTTGCTGACTGCTTTGCATGTATGCTATCATTTAATCCTAAAAATCACATACCATGTGGAGGCAAATACCACAATCTCCATTTAATTCATGAGTAAATGGAAGCTTATAAAAGATACTCTTCTCTCTTCTAGTAAATGGGAAAGCCAGGATTCAAACCCATCTGGAGCTAATAATCCAAAGACCTTATTCCAGCTCACTGCTTGACTCTCTTCTTCCTCCAAATTTAGAGATGCTAACAAGAATGGAAACATCATTTTTGTTTTGAATTTTCTCTTCCCTTCATAGTCTCCAACAGATGGGCTTCCTTAGACCAACAATCAGTACCATGAGCTTATTTTAAATCGTGGCTAAAAGGTAGTGAAGGCTGTCTTGTTTTGTAGCTAAGAATGAAATTCACCTAAGAATGAAATTAGGAGGAAAACCCCCTCAACATTCAGAAACGAGATCAGCAATTCTTCTAAACCTTAATCCAGAAATATGTAGCTGACTAGTTTGGGGGAAAATTCAGTCTAATAACTGTCCTTAATAAGTTAAAAGTGAATCAATTGTTATAAAGGACAGGTTTTATACAGCACCACACTTTGTACCACAGGGCTCAAGAACAGAGAATCTCTCAGCTGGAAAATCGAGCTGGCCTGGCACCAACAAGTCATCAAGTGCATCAGTCAGATACTCTCCTTTGTAATGCGGAAGTGAGCTTTAGTGATGGGAATGAGGGAGAGCAGTGCACAGGCAGGAAGCTAGGGAACAGACGCTTGAGACGGCTAATAGAGAGCAGAAGCAATCAATCAGCAGGGAGAACCCGGGTGGGGAGCAAAGGCACCTGTTTCTAGGATACCACGCTCTGTGGCTGATTCTTTCTACTACGAGGTCTGGCTATGTCGTTGAGCATCTAATAATCCTCATTTTTTCCCTATAAATCCTTAAACTTAGTTACTTAAAGGCAATCACAATGTCTCTATGCCATGCAACAAAAAAAATACCAAGCAGGGGGGGAGGGGGGGAAGGAAAGAAAAAAATGCGCTACAGGGGTGTAGGCTGCTCCTTTCCTGAATAGATTAATAAAATGGGAATAAAAAGGGAAAAAAAGATTAAGTAGAAAGTAAGAATGTAAACGTGTCGCCTATAGGTCAACAAAACTGCTGTGATCTAGCACAAATCTTGACTGATCTTCCTTGTAGACAAGGCAAAATGCAAAAGAAACAGTAATTATTATAAAA